CTAATCTTCACATTAAGACTTAATACGATATCACAACAAATGAAGTTCAACTGAACAATTGATCCAATTCAATTAAAAAGAGCACACACATTTCAAGATTGGTTTGTTTCAACAAGACACCTTTTTGCCATTTTTGTGGGTACATGTGTAGTTATTTCTACATCAGCTAAGTACCAAACACAAACTACTCCGTACAATTTACTTTCCATCCTTGTTTGCTGTTGGAGTTTTGGTTTACAGTGTTATGCCCTCCATGACATTATCTTAACTAGCATTAATGATAATTATAGTTAAGTATTACATATTTTGAATCTACACTAAAAATTTACATTCAACAGTCAAAACTTAAACGAATTTTGAAATATGTGAAATCAAAGAGTCAAAGAAAGTTAGACTGGTGGCATAAAAATGAACTAAAACATTAGATATAGGGACGGAGTAGTAACGCATTGGACTACTCGCTCATCTTTAGTAATTAGGATGGAAATCTAAGGCTTCATATTGATATTTCATGTAGCCAACAAATTTCAACGTCTCATCATTTAATTTTGCATGGTGGGGCAGAACAAGTGTGTGAACTCGGAAAGGTCACACTATTCAGGTGTGGTGAATGGAACAATACATGTGGTTGCTGGAGGGGCAGGGTCGCACCTTTCTGAGTTCACGACGCTGAACACAAGTTGGAGTCTTTTCAAGGATTACGATTGGGGATTCGTAAAACTCACCGCATTCAATCACTCATCGCTTGCATTTGAATACAAGAAGAGCAGGGACGGGAAGGTGTATGATTCTTTCACTATCTCAAGGGACTATAGAGACGTATTGGCCTGTGTACATGATGCCTGTGAGCCTACCACTCTAGCATTTTAATTATTTATTACCACGGATTATTATTATTATACGTAGTACTTATTCATGTATACTAGTTTTAGAGTATTCGATTGCACGGATGACATTTAATAAACATGGTTTCAAGCTAAAGATTGCAGTTTTGTTTATAATTTCGAGTCAGGAACAATTGCTATGATAGTATGATACCGTATGCATGTATTTGTTCATACATATGGAGAATTAATATTTGTGGAGCACAAATTAATATGGACAATTATTGTCGCGAAGAATCATGAACCTATAGAGATGCTGAAATAATAGCAGATCAAACAATATATTGTTGGACAAAATCTAGCAAAATAAATAAGCGAGAATGACATAGTCGCATAAATATGAACATGCAGAAGTTTTCGATTTAGGACTCATTGTTCGCAAACTAACATATTTGGTCATACATATTGTTTACCATATCCCGATTTTTTTCATTTCAGTTGGAAAATTAGTTAATGTTAATAAAAAACTTTGAAAGATAAAAGTTGTCGATTTAGAATTCAAATGATTGGATACTTTCAATCAAGGCCTAGAATTTCGTAAATGCTGATTTCTATATACTTGTATATCTTTATTATTTTTCAATGACTTCTGTTCACAAAAACTATTTAAGTTCCAATAAGCTGAAGAATATCTAAATTTTTAAAAAATAAAATAAAATAAAATATATGATATTTTAAGCATTGGATCGATGTTTTTCAACCATTTAGTGATTTAGGCCCTCAACTTACAAGGTTTTCCTTTAGATCTTGATTCTAGTAGAAATCAAAACTTGTGAATTTTTAAGGTCTTAAATTGAGAATTTAAATCATTTGAATCGTAGTGTGACGACTTATTTTTCGGGTTCTTGATTGAGAGTTAACTAATCAGAAATTGCCCTAAATAGGATTAAAAATGTTTTGAAGTTCCAAAATAGGAGTATCATGTTTTTCATTCCTTGAATAAGAGTAATCTGCCAAGTTTGGAAGAAACTGACATCTTTAAAGCCTTGTAAAACCAAACTTGGCAGAAATTTACTCCTGTTCGGGGAATAAAAAACATGATTCTCCTATTTTGGAATTTCAAAACGTTTTTACTCTTATTTAGGGAATTATCTCTTAACTAATCTTTCAGGTCCTTATAGTTAGGGGTGGACCGGTTCTGGTTCGGGCCTGGGCCCGGCCGGTTCGCGGTTCTGTTATGTTGGACCTGAGCCCGAACCGGTAGCCACCGGTTCCAGGTCCGGTTCTGGGCCGGGCCGGGCCACCCGGTTTGTAATTTTTTTTGGCTTCTCCTATTTAACCCCCAACCCACCCCTCTCACCCCCAACCCACCCCAAACCACCTCAAATGGCCCAAAATACCCAGCCCAACCCAAAAACTTAAAAAAAATTCAGAAAAAAAAAATAAATTCGGCCCGGACCGGGCCCGAACCAGCCGGGCCGGTTCACCAAATGGAGGGCCCGAGCCCGGAACCAAAGCCCACCGGGCCGGGTGGCCCGAACCGGGCACTAACCGGTTCACCAGGCCGGTCTGGGCCCGCACAGTAGCGGGTCGGTCCGGTTGGCCCAGCCCGAGTCCATCCCTATTTATAGTTGAAAAAAATCATTTTTTATTGTTATTTTAAAACAAATCTTTCAGTCTAAAATTTGTTGTTGTTCATAGTAAATATTTCCTCTAGGCTTTATTACATGTATTTTTTCACCATCTTTATCAGATTAGTTTATCTTATTGGTAATTGGTTTTGAACATTAAATACTTTCTTGTTAATTATAACCATGAAATTTCACCAACCATGCATCGCACAGGTGTTCTATTAGGTTGACCCGACCGGTTTTGTGTGTACCTGTGACCGATCACGTGCCCGGCTCGCTCCCCGTTCTGATTTCTTTAACAGAGATTTTTTTGTGTTTGTATTTAGGGACAATGAATTTAATCAAATCAACTTTCGTCAATTTGTGTACTTTCCAAATATAGCTGGACCGGTGGAAGAAAAAGAGTGAGTGTGAGGGAGTTTCTTGGTATCGAATGGTTCACTCGGTCTTTACTATGGATATAATGTTCACTCGCTTAAGAGGTTACATTTTCATAAACAATCTTCATTTTAGTCTTAATTATGTAATTATTTAAAAACATTATATGCATAAATACCTAAATTTGTCCTCTATAATGGTAGATGACCTATTTGAACATTTTCGCATAAATTTATATTTAAGCATGATTTAAGAATGACATAACATATTTTCACATATTTGCACACTCCCTGTTTTGTATGTTAACATAAGCAATTCGTATAAAAAAAGCAATTCGTATAGATGTAAAGTCACCCTATTATTTAGAGCCCGTTTGGTAGCACGAAAATTGGCTGATTTGACCGATTCTGCTGAAATTTATGAAGTTCTGGCTGAAATGGCTGTATTGGCTGATTATGTTGATTCGAGAAAAAATTATTTTTAAAATATACTCCCTCCGTCCCGAAAACAACCTCCCGTTTTGACCTACACACATATTTAGGAAATAAATTTGACTTTACTGTAGAGTGCACTGTTTGGCACTGTTTAAACACTGTTTGGCACTGTTTAAACACTGTTTGGCACTGTTTAAACACTGTTTGGCACTGTTTATCACTTTTTTGATGTAGATAATTTGCCAAATAAGGAAAGTATTGAAGTGAGAAGTTAATTTTGGGACATCCATTTAAGGAAAGTGGGAAGTTGTTTTTGGGACGGAGGGAGTATTTATTAATAAAATAAAGAAAATATTATATGTAAAAATAGCTAAAATGATCATCTACAATAACCTCAGCCAATACAGCCAGAAAAGTAACTCCAACATTACTTTTTCTGTTTATTACACAATTCAGCGTGAGAAAGCAAAAGTTACATGTTTGGTGAAAATGTTGGTTGATAAGCCTGATAAGTCGAAAAATAGTGTTGCCAAACGGCCTCTTAATCATTATACATAATTTACCTTCAACGTAACTAAATTATTTAAACCTTTGAGTATGGAAAAATTCTTTTCTAAAATTTTACACGAAGAAACGATTTTAACAGGGGTTAGTGCGAGACAAAAGGTGTTAATTCTTAGGCATTTCTTAACACCTTTAGATATTAACTTGCCATTCCAATGTATCCTCGATATGATGACACCCAAACATGACTTATTATGTCGTGATTACAAATAAAAGTCAATAACAATCTTATTGCTTGTTGGTTTATTGATGAGAATCTCTGTTTTTAGTCAAGGTATAAGTGTATAAGTGTCATTTCACGTCAAATTTTATTAAGATTGTAATTAAGTTTAGTGAAATTTGAAATAAAAAAACTTGTCAATTTATTATTGTGTGAAGTAAATTATTATTGTAATTATGTTTAGTTAAATTTGAAAAAAAAAACTTGAAACTTCATATTGTATGAAGTAATTGTTAACGATGTTTAATTTGACCCTTGTAATTAAGTTTAGTTTAATTTGAAATAAAAAATAAAAAAACTTGTAATTTTATTATTGTATTTAATTAAAATTACAACTTTTTTTATTTCAAATTTAACTAAAGTCGATTTCAAGGGTCCAATTTCACCAACTATGCATCATGCGGGCGTTAAAATTACAAGTTTGTTTTTCAAATCTAACTAAACTTAATTAGAAGAGTCAAATTTCACTAACCATACATCACACGGGTGTTCTACTAATTTTTCTATTAAAAATCACACATTTTTTACCCATCCTCACGTCCAACTATTTTTTTTTAAAAAAATCTTTAAAAACTTTCAAGGACGTATCAATAATTAAAAGCTATGAAAACAGCACAACATCACAAACATCAACAATCTCAGTTTTGTGAATTTAATTGCTTCATGTGGTGTTGGTTGTTAGAAATGGATTATTTTAGCAATTAAAATTTTCATTACACCGGGCCAAAAAACAGGGTACTGTTTTGGTTGAGAAAGAATGAGCAGTTTTAGTTTTTTCTTTCAAGTGTAAGGATGTTTTTACTTGGACTATAATTTGCTGGTCTGGTCTGATCTGGTAATGTCTGGTTTCTTTGTATTTTTATAACTATCCAAGTCTCTGATATGGTCTGGGGCGAATTACAGTCCAAGTAAAAACATCCTAAACTATATACAAAACATTAACAACAGATTGCACAAATACATTCAATAACAAAGCCTTGCAAATAAAGACGGCTACTTGTGAATTGCGATTGTTTTGCAACAACGATACTGTGACTATTGGCTGATGATACTGCTAACTGCAGCTTCTGAGGTTGTGATGATAGTATAGTTATCAGGAATCAATATTAAATACAAAACTGGACTTAATCATTATCACATACCCTTCCCTCTGGAACTAAGAAGACTGGAAACACTGCAATACGCATCACTTTCATTCAAACGCACCAGCTGATATGGCAAATTTGAGAGCCGGTAGCCCAGAACCCTAAACAAGAGAAAATTTTCACGAGATGTATATCGACCATTCTTTGTGAAGTTTCAACTTTCTAATGTTAGCAACTTCTTTGCATCCCCGCAATCTCATTCATGGTAGTTTTCAACTCCCATTGACACCAATTTCAAGTGGAACTTTCAGTCTGCCATTACTGCATCACAAGTTGCACTTTCATCACCACTACTAGCTGATGAGCTGATAGAAGCAAAAATATGCTCAATCTGTAGAGGAGAATGTCGAACCGCATACTGGAATAGGACCTAGTAGAATTTTAAAAAGAAATGAATGTTCATGCATAGACAGTTAGAATACTGTCTCAAGAGTTTTGTTTATAGAGTAACAGCTAACCTTAGAGTAACTATCAGCAAAGGCACGAGAGCGGTTGGGTTTGTCAACGTATTGCAAATCTGCCTTCTCTAGTTTCCCATCCACCAAAACTAATCCATCTTCATTGATAGAGAAACGTAGAAGGTCTCCAGAGCGTAGTCCTGTCTGAGAATACAATAAAATAGAAAGTTGCAAAAATATGTGGAAAATAAATCACGCAAAAGCTTTAAAATAGAAAAAATAATGTAGAGGTTCCCATTATGATAGGTATATTTCAATTCCATCTCATTCTAGTATAGAGAAAAACATTGAAACTAACTACACAATACCGAAGGAGAAACACATTCCTATCAAGTTATACTGTACATTTATGAATGGTTTCTTAAACCTTATTGTTTACATTGTCCTATGCCACTATCCAACTTCCGGTTCGCCCAAAGCACTTGTTCGCCCGAAGCCCTCAACTGCCTTGCCACCGGTTCACCCCAAGGCACCCGTTCGCCAAATGCCATGCTCTTAAGAAGCATGCTTCATATTAAGAGAAAAGAGCGAAAAGTGCTTGCGCATATGCCTACAAGCTACATCTTACACCACATTAAAAAGTGAGAAAAGTATAAACATACCCTAATTTCTACATTGTTAAGTGAAAGTTATTATCCATTGATTACAGAGACACCCTCTGTCGCCTCTTTGTCTTCACTTTTCTTGTTTGGGTCGTCCCTAACTAACCCTCCTTTTCCCTCTTAAGTAAAAAAGTGTGTTGTCTATATTCTTTCATTTGTGTCTACATGAATATCATCGTCCAAACCATTTTCATTTCCTTAAACTTCATTTCAAGTCAAACCCAGAACATTTAATGGAAAAGGCGGGAGTAATAGTGACAGAAAACCTGAAGAAAAGATTAGTATACTAAATCACGACATAATAATTAGTTTAACCTTCTGGATGAATTCCCCATTCAGGCAACCAAAAATAACAGGAGGATCATCAGATGTGGATAGTCTCCCATCATCCAGTAGTTCCAAAACCACCTGAATGAGATACAAAAAGATTAATACTAGTGCCTTCTTCTACAGAATCAATATCAAATTTTGAATTTAAAAATAGAAAGATAACAGCATACATGTTGTTCAGTTGGAATTTCTCCTTTATTATCAGTATCAATGACATACTGGCTACAGTTCTTGTCTTTCCAAACCAATGCAAGTGGTGTATTCCCAGTTTGGTAGTGTGCCTGCCTATAGAGGAGAAGCAATCAATACACACAAAGGCAGAACTTTTTAAAAAGGCAAACGCAGTTCAATAGTATTCATGGTAAACTGTAAATTTTTAAAAATGGGCAGACATTATCTTAATGTATTAACTCATAAAAAACTTACTTATTAATGAACACCAGTCCATCCTTGACATAAGGCACTGGACCTGTATAAGCAGAATGGAGTCCTTCCTCGACACAATCGTAGACTGGAACACTACTGAACCTATATCTATGGTAAGTTGAGGGAGCATCGCACGCCCCTGACTCAGCAAGTTTAGTGTTCAACCAGTAGAATCTGAACTCTGCGGTGCACTCATATAATGAGAACCCAGCCCAACCTACCATGTCAATCACATAATACGTTTGATCCAACTGTCATGCCACAGAACAGCGTGAATACATTAGATAAACTGTAATATCACCATGAAGCTTTAAAACTTGATGAGGTTTAACTGTTACCTCATGAAATACACAATCAAGAATGCAATAAGACTGAACAGATTTACTATTGGTCCTGGCACCACTTGGTAAGGCTGAAGGAAACTTATGCAAGAGAGTTCCATTACGTAGCCTACTGATCGTTGTCCCATTAGAAGATACAACAAAACATCGCTTCCCAGCAGGCCTTGCAAATACGTACCTGCAAATCAAACAAAAGTGAAGCCTTCAGTTTAGTCTTCACTACACACAAGAAACAACAGAATCTAGAATACCCTGATTCATCAATAGGAAGCTGGAAATTATTTACTGACACAGACATACAAGTGGATAATTATTAAGGAATGGTTATGAGGGGAACTAACCAGTCACTGCTCAAGTTATCAGGTACGTCAATCATCCACTCAGGAAGCATAAGCTGCTTAGCAAACCACCGGCGAGCTCCGGCTCCTCTTATCCTTGAGAGCTGACAAATATCATAGCTGTCGCTCTGTCGATATTCCGGTTCAATTCGCTCTGTTCCAGGTTCGGGTTCAATGTTAGGCTCTTCAGAAAATGACTCGAGCTCTTGGTGGTCAGACTGAATTGACAGAATTGTGGAGGCTAAACGGCGTGCTTGCAGCTGAGCGTCGCGGCGGTTTTGCTCCTGGCGGAGGAGAGACTGGTCCCTACGTCGTTGTTGGTCGGAGATGGCTGGACGCTTGAACGGGCGGCGAATATCGTGTTGCCCCATCGTTAATTCCCTTACTGCGTACAGATTGATCCTCTACCGAAGGGGTTTAAGAAATCTAGTTTATCGCTGAATTGCTCTCTCTGGTATCGGGTGGGCACACAATTTCTGATTTCGGATGGATTTGGCGGAGCAACCTCGAAGTTCCTGTCAAACGCTCTCACGCTGTGGTGTGCAGTCGCACAGGTTCAAAAGAGATCCGGGTCGAAAAAATTGTGATTAAAGAAATTAATTTGATACAATTTGTAAATCTGCTCACTTTTATCTCCAAATCCTTCATATAATTTTTACTTTTCTTATTTATCATCTAATTTAAAAAGTGAACGTGCATTGAGACAGAAGTAAGAGCATCTTCAATGCTAATACGTTAACGGTGCACACGTGCCATGAGAGATAGCCAATAAAAAAACAATAAATAAAATATTTCTCTACTTTATATCATTTAGGTAAGTTTTTCTTCACAATGTCAAACACAATGTCTAGATATAGACAATGTGGTTGAGATTGCAGAGAGCAACTTACCAAAAACACATAAGACCGTAAAAAGACAGAGAGAGAAATGTCACAAAATCAATCTTTTGTGTTCATCTCTCTCATGTCACATGTGCACCGTGCACATTGTAGCATTGGAGATGCTCTAATATTTTATACTTCTATGTCCCATTTTACATGTCCTGCTTTAGTTTACTAGAATTATCAATAAAACAATTGAAAAAGTAAAAGTTATAGTTGAAATTTAAGTATAATAAAGTGAAATGTAATATACCACATACTTGTTTCTAAAAAGAAATACTACACTTATTTTAAAACGAAGCAAAAGAAAATAAGGCAGGTAAAATGAAGCGAACCGATTATCATAGATGAAAAAACAAACGTTTTTTGAAACTTATTGCCATTTGGAAAATCATAAAAGTATAATATAGGGGATTATGAAAAGTTGCATGAAGACGATGAAAATTGAAAAACACAATAGAGATCTTGAAGGTGTATACTTCTTTTCAAGTTTCAACAATGAAATTTAAAGATAGAAGTAGCGATAAGCTAGATTCCTAAAATAAACCGGACCAACCAACATGTAACAATTGTCTTTTAACATATGGAGTATGTAGTATTTCTATTTGAAATTATTATTGACTTTTCATTTTTTTTATGATCCACGTGTCGGTACTTGCGCTACCCTAATCATGGAGTATATTGACTACACTCCAAAGTCTCTAGACAGTCAAATCCGGGTCTGATCACGCGAACTCGAGCATGAATTTCCTTTCCCTCCCTTCTTAGCCGTTGTGCAACTCCGTGAATGTAGGAAGAATCATTGGGAGCAAGACACCCTCATCTTCCCTTGGTGCATAGCGGGTTTCCAACACGAGATCTCGCATATGCACCTGTAACTTCACAATCAGCTGGGCCGATATGCTCGATTATTATTGACTTTTCATAAACTTAGACCTCGTTTACTTGTAAAAAACCTCGTTTACTTGTAAAAAAGGTTTAATTAGCAATACTCAGTATCTTTATTGGATTTAACAATGTTCTATAAGACTACAACGCTAACCAAACAACATGCACTTAATATCCCCTCCAACTCCATGTCTATGTAGTCATGCTGTCATGCACCACTAAATATTAAAGTGAGAACATAAATAATAAAAATATACTCTCTTTATATTGAAAATGTTTGTGAGATTTTTCTTTGTGGGATGTATTCTAATTTTGATACATTTTTTGAGTGGGTAATATTTGACTAATTTTTGTCTTCTTTTTTATATTGTCCATCATATTTATTTGAACCGAGACACTGAGTCTGTAATGGATGACCCGATCCCAACTAGAGGCGACTCGGTACAAGTCCAGTCCCGATTCCGGTCGTTACCTATTGAAACCCGAGTCTCACCCAGTTATATCCGGATCTGATTTGATTACGAGTGTTCTAGCTAAAAAAAATGACGATCCAAGATTGAAAGTGGCACCAAAATCGTCCGATTTGATCTCCAAATAGGTGAACCATGACCGGATAGCCTCTTGGATGGAAAGAGCCGTTTGATCGAAAATTTCAAACTCAATCAAGACCCAAACAGTGCCAGATTGGACCGGGTCTACCTCTTATCCCAACTATAGAGTAGCAAGCTTAGTTGGTATGTCATACCAAAATGAAAAATTCTAAAGCTATCCCATTCTATACCCCATTTTGTACCCTCTCCCTAGTTTTGTGGTTAAAAAAAGCAATGAATTTAAGTGGGGTAATTGTTTTGTGAGCCACTCATAGAGTGAGGTGCAAATGGGGTATCCCATTTTGGGTACCTCTAGCATTTCTCTACCAAAATTTAAACAACACTGCTATAGATATCCCAATTTGTACCCTAACCTATTTTTTTGGTTCACAAAAGCTCAACTCAGTAAATAAATTGTCTCATTTTAATGAAGTGTTTTTGTGAGCCACAAAATTAGAGTGAAGGTACAAAGTGGAGTACAAATTGGGTAACTTTAGCATTTTTCAAATTTAAAAGTGTGAAAGTGCGACAGAATATGATGATCTCGTCCTACTCTGTTTCTAACTTTCTATTCCGTACTGTTGAAAAAAGACCTTCTGGTCTGAGCGCCAACAATTCAAAATTGAATGAACCCCATCTGTATCTACCGACAACCATTCCGCCATTAAAACATTCTTCACTCTTCTGTCGTCTTCTCCATCGCTCCAAATCACCATTGTCCTCTTCTCACTCCCTTAAATCTCTCCCTTTACAGGAAATACAACACAATGGGGTGTGTTTCGTCTACTCTGCTCAGCCACGACGACGAGTTCGCTCAAATCGGCGGCTCCGCCGGCTTCGGCCACCACATTGTGTCGCTCACCTCCACCACCTACGGCCTCTTGACTCTCGATCCCCCGGCGCGTTCGTCCGGAGACGAAGAGAGTAGTGTTTCCCCAGTGCAGACCACTGCGCCAGCCACACCTACTCCGCCCACTCGGTTCAGTCTCGGGACGCTCTTCGCTAGCCCGTTGCTTTCAGAACCTAGATCGGTCAAGTTGTCTGAACCGCCGTCTGAAGTTATCAACTCATGGGAGTTAATGTCCGGTCTTGATTCAGGACAACTGTTCAGCCAAAGCGCCGCTAAGAGCTTCCGATTTGCTGCTTTACCTACTTCCACTGCAGACAGTAGCTGCAAAAATTCTCCTTTACGCTTGAAGACAATGCTTAGTAAAGAAAACTCGAACCCTAATGTCTCCTCAGAAGGGGCTAAAGCTGATGAATCGGTCGTTCTAAAGTCATTGAGCTTAGTTGAAGCCACACTGTCCAGAAAATCCTTCAATTCCAAGTACCCTTCTCTCGATCAGTTCGAAGAGCTATGCCCGCCAAATGGGCAAAACAAGGTTGTGATCTATACGACGACCTTGAGGGGCGTGAGAAAAACCTTTGAAGCTTGCAATGCGGTCAGATCCGTCATTGAGGGAGCTGGGGTTTCCATCTGTGACAGGGATATTTCAATGGACAAAAGATTTAAGGAAGAGCTTAGGGGTCTGATGAAGGGTAAGGATAGCAGTGAGCTAATACCTCCACGGGTGTTTGTGAGGGGGAGATACATTGGAGGTGCAGATGTGGTATTGAGGATTGCTGAAGAAGGGGGGTTGGGGGATTTGCTTCAAGGATTGCCAAAATTGAGAGTCGGGTATGTGTGTGAAGGTTGTGGTGGTGCACGGTTCTTGCCTTGTTTCACATGTAATGGAAGTTGTAAGATGGTTATGATGGTGAGGGAAGACATGGAGGAGAAGCATGGCAAAACTGTGGTGGTGAGGTGCTCTGATTGCAACGAAAACGGCTTGGTGCTCTGCCCCATTTGTAGCTAGAAGGTGCACCCCAGCCAATCCGCCATTTCTTGGTCAGTTTAGATCTCCTCCATTTCTTATTCCCAATTTTACTAGTAAAAAAATATTCATTTTTTGCTGCCATTAAAGATTTCTGCTTCACATTTCAAATTTCTCCGTTTAGGTAATCTGAATACATTTCATAGAATATAAGAGTCTAGCAAAGAAGATGTAAGCTAATGTTGCGGAATAAGTGATTTTGATGGATTTCTTGAAATTGTAGAGCCTGGACCCTTTGTAGTTGAAATCTCAATTAACCTGTGCATTTGATGTTTCGATCATCCATGCCTATACGCTCATCTATTTTTCTCATCATTGGTTGTCTAAAAACAACTGATGTGCAAGGAACTGATGATCGACATTCAAATGTTCAGAGTTCATTTGGTGCGTAACTATAGATGATATCTTCTCAAAAGTGTCAGTAATGATGTGTTTCAATTTCTAACCCTGTATGGTTATTATGGATTATAAGTTGTCCTGCATTTTCGAGCATATTGCAATTGCAAAACTCGAGCAGCACTGCTTTAGTTCTGAAACAGTCGGAGTAAGTTCAATTTTTGGCAAATCAAGTTCATTTCAAGTTTGAAATTCTCCAAATCCAACTCTTCAATGTAATAATAGCTTCATTTACATATAAGTACGAAATGAAGTTGAATAATATTAGCCAAAGTTGAAACCTTTTGCTTTTAGCTTTTCATTGTCATATACCAAAGTTGTTTTTAAGTAATTTATTCAAACAATCTACTGCATATTGAAACGTGCCCTTTGATGTCATTTTTTTTTCTTTTTTCCAGTAATCATATGGAGTATTATTTTTTCTTTCCAAAAGGTATACTCTATTCAGTTAGGGGTTCAGGGTTAGTGACCTCAAACATAGCTTCAAATGATAACACTCAACCTGGAAATAGCCCCTAATAGAGGCATTTCTTCAGTTTCACCTCGTTGTTCCAAAACAAAGTCCAAGAATATGTTTGGTTCAGATTCAGACTTCAGAAAAAAAATGTTTGGTTCGGACTTCAGAGTTTTTAGAGGAAGGGGAGGGGAGGGAAAGTGCTACCCTCCACTCATTGGTTAAAAAATATGGGAGGAATGATTTAACTACTTCCCCTCCCTTGCCCTCCCACGGAACATAGAAACTAAATAACATAACATAACACAAAACATCCCCTCCCTTCCAATGCCAATGAACCAAACACACCCTAAGTGGCACAATCCTATTTCTAACTTTATCCTAAAACCACCAAAATCTGAAGGGTGTCCTGCCAAACATGGTAAAAGCCACATCTAAACTTAAACTCCAAGGTTCAATTCACAGTCAAGACTTCATCTCAAGCCTCAAGCCCTTAGGGAT